CACCTATTTTGCCAGCTAAAACTTTCCCTCTTGTTCATCGGTGGCCTCCTGGAGGCAAGGCCTGTCCTCTACTTCGTCAGCCGACATGGCCCAGCACGCAGAAGGCCTCACTGACCGGCTCAGCTGCCCCAAGTGGATGGTAGTACGTGACAGCCTTTCAATTCTGAAGCACATGTCCATCACCATTTATCCATTCAACAAGTATTTCTAGAACACCTTGTAAGTCACGGTCCTGAGTCTGAGATTAAAAAATATTTTTTAAAGCCTCTGAGCTCAGGAACTCACAGTTTAACAGGAAAGACAGTGAATGAACATTTCAGAGCATTGTGGCAGGGAGTAGGGGGCTGAGTGAGAAGGCAAGGGGAGCATCCGTTCTCCCGGAATGGAGGCTTTTGAGGGATTCCCTGGGGGGCGGGGCGGGGGTGCCCGCAGCAGACCCCAACCTTGAAGAAGAGCAATGAGCTGGCCAGGCAGAGAAGAGCAGGAGGGCACTGCAGACAGAGCACCTGGACGGCCGCCTCCCAGGATGTCGTCCCTAACTCCCCCACTGCATCTGCTCAGATGAGACGAGTAACTTTAACACCAGCCAAAGAGTAACATGGTCACACAGGTATTACAGCCTTAAATAACCAGATGATGCATTTCAAAGTAAAAAAAAAAAAAAAAAAAAAAAAATCAACGTGCTTCTGACTGTCCTCCACCAGGGTGATGGCCTGGCCTCTTGGGTCGCCCCTTCTGACACTCCCACCCCAAGCTCCAGCCCCTCTGGGTGTCATGTGGTTTCACGTCCGCATGCCCTTGCCTGGATGTGCCTGCTCATTCTGTCTGGTCGCAGTGCCAATCACCATCCCCCGGGTCCGTGAAACACCTCCTGCTCTCTGAAGCACCCCTGCGCCTCGTCTGTGCCACTGTCCTCACCCGGGCCGAGCTCAGAGGCACTGCTGTGTTCGTTTAACTGCCTTTCCTACTATATAGGAACAGCTGGGGTGAGGGACTAGCTAGGCTATTAGTCCTGCCATCCCAGGGGTCCAGCACCGTGCCAGGCACTAGCAGGCACTCGACAATAAATGCTTGCTCAGTGAATTCAGATAAGCAAGAGTATAAGTGTATGTTACTAAACAGGGCTACAACAGAAACAAACTGAGAAAGAACACACTCTCTGTGTCATGATTTCTAATGAAATGTCAAAACCTTTCCCCAACCTCAGATATTTACATCCTATTTTAAGAGGCAACTGAAGCTATAGGTCAGTCTTTGAAAGGCCTAAATTGTTTATCAAAGACAGTGGGGCGGGAGGGAATATTTAAGCCTAAGAAAAAATTACTATCCTACAAAATTCACACTAGCCCTGCCTGTATCTCAAAGCTACCTTGCTTCTTGTCTCTCTGGGAGGAAAGAAGGAAAATCAGCTTGGAACGAATCGATCAAGCAAGCATTTATCAGGACTTTCCGTCCAGGACTGGGCTAGGCGCCACGCACGCACGCACACACATGCACACTGATTTCTGCTTCAAAGTCAAACAAGAAGAAACGAGAATCAGAAGCACAGGATGTCAAATTCCCTCTCAAATTCTGGCCTGGCTTTTCCTCAGCTCTACCCAACTTTAAGCCATGATAACACTGGTTTCTTCTCACAGCAGGTGACACCAAGTTCCCCTTTGTGTCAACCTCCTACCACTTTCTCAAAGCCTTCTCTCTGTGACTTCTCGTGCCCACACTAATTTTTCTCTTTTCTGTATTCTTGTGGAATTTCTTGTCTGTATAATTAATTTTGGCATGAAATCACTCCTTGTGTTACCATCCTCTCTTAAGAGTTTATCTTACCTCTTCCAGGGCGCCTGTAAGATTCTTAAAGATCCTGTTTTGAGTCTCACGATACTGTACTGGGCATACGGCAAGTGCTTAATGATGAACTGGACCTTCTGGTAGGCCTTCATGTTCTCTCTGCCGTCAGTGGCATTCACTAACGTCTCAAGGTCAACCTCATTCACCAAAGAGCAGATGTCAAAAGAGGTACCGAGCACTGGACACCTGTCACCGAGCAGGACGGCAAGTCCAAAGGTGACAATCCAGCAGCAGTGGGCTCCCTGCAGTGGTCTTGGAAACACTACCCTTCCCTGACTCGTGGGCATTTGGGGCTGACCCAAGAGAATCCCATTTTCTGGGCTTGGGCTCAGAGACAGAATGTCCTTAAAAAGCCAAGGAATGGGAAGAGAAGGGCTGGGAGCTCCAGATGTAAAATCGGCAGGAACACACATGAATGGAGGCCATAAATCCCTCCCAGGACGCAGACAATGCCTCAGTGATAAGCATGCAGATTGCACACCTAGTTCAGAAACTCCCCTGAGTTTGCTTGTAATTAAGGGGGTTAGAAAGGTAAAAAAAATATATAAACCCAATTAATCATTTAAATATTTAAAGTCAGATTTTTCCCTCACTCCAGGATTAGTATATTTCATAATGCCAGCAGCAGACAGCCCTGGTTTTTACTGGGGTTCATTTTAGAGCATGTTTAAACTAGTCAGATTGAGTGATGCTTCCAGCAACTAATCGCATGTCAAATAAAAGATATTTTATGTAATAAATTACCGCTACAAGTAATTCAAATGTCATTTATCAGTTTTATTATCAGTCAGGCAAAGTCTTCTTTCTCTATATTAATCAAAATCAAGCTTTTTTTTTTTTTTTTGGAGCAGTTTTGACACCTCTTGGCAAAAGTACAGAAGTGAAGAGGTAGGGTCCCCCCCAAGCTGAAGGAGCAGCGTTGTGGTACGAGAAGGCAGCTCACGGTGACGACTAAAAACTTCAGGTATTTAAAAGTGCCATTACCATTGTTTTTATACTAGCGTCAAAGCAGGAAGGAGTCTGTCTCTAAGAAGATGTATTTTATTTTTAGGGCTGGGAGACTCTTAAAAATACTCCTACCTAAATACCTAACGGGGTAATGCTTTTTCTCAGAGAGTTCTGGAAGGGAGAATGATATAAATGACTGAACTGCCCTTCCCCAGCCCATTCTTCTGCCTCTTTCGGAAAGACTAACAGTTTAACCCTTTGTGCTTCCAGAAAGTCGGCAGACTCCGGCTGTTTGGGGCCAGCTCCGTGACCAACCAGAACAACCAGAACACTTTGTTCTGAGCAAGAAGTTTCCAAGTAGCCGAGAGACCTGTCTGGTAGTAAGCCATAGAGGAAACAGCTGGACTAGAACAGATGTGCATTTTAGAGACTTCTGCACCCCAGCTGCCACCGCTTGTCCTCCACAAATCCCATTAAACGGCTGGGCCAGGGACACAACTAAAGAAAAAGTGTGCAGACTTAACCTTTGGTTAAAAAGAAACATGCAGAGTATGTTTAGTGACCCAAAGCAAACACAACGGATGGGAAAGAATGCTCGCCAGGACGCAGGAATGAGTCCCAGGCTGACAAGTAGCTGCTGCCGACTCAGCAGCCCCAGTACAAGGCTCACCAGGAAGCATTGTTTCTCTGGTCTCAGATGTCACACAATGCCAACAGTTTTTCAGACAAGGCAACCACGGATGACAGCAATTTGGGTGTGTGTGACCTGGCCTCACCCATTCAACCTTATCCAGAAAGCAAAAGAAAGGAGATATCTAAATGAGATCTGTGACACACAAAGCGGCTTCTAAGCCACTGCCCGGCCCCTGAGCTGTCTATACAATGATCTCCCTTCCCCGGGTGGTTGCGGCTGAGCCAGTGAGGACAGTGAAGTGAGGCCAGAAGGCAGCTTTAGGCCACGTTGGGGGAGCGGCAAAACAAGTCTGGCATTTTAAATTACGCCTTTTAAAATCTAGTATCTAACACTTTTAAATCGTGTTTTGGAAAAAAATGAAAGTTTTGAGATAGACAATCAAAAAGACAATTATAGAAAAGGCATTTTGAAAGACAACCGATCCAAGGCTGAGTTACTTTAAAGACACAAAACTGAGCTATTTTCCATCATTTGGGAGTCAATTTTGACCCTTTTAGACTTTGTACAAGTGACTTAAAGAAAGGGTTCTAGCTGTATTTTGGATGTGTACATTTATCACCAGTTTGAAAACCTTTACTCTTAAAATACTTTCATTTAAAAACAAAACCTCCTGTGGGTCGCTGTCTCATGTAATAAAAATAGAAGCTACATTCAAAAAAGACCTTTACATTTAATCTGAACTTCTCTAACAGACGGCTACTATATAATTATATATGGTATAGACAAGGGAAGAAAGAAAAGAAAGGAAGGAAGAATGGAAGGAAGGAAGGAGGGAAGGAAGGAAGGAAGGAAGGAAGGAAGGAAGGGTAGTTACATTTCTGTA